GCTCTAATTTTCAGACTTTTCACCTGAAGTTGTAATCTTTGAAGCAGCTCTTTCTGTTGTTGTTACCTGTATCTGTGTGATTAACAATCTGGACGGTTCTCTGAGCCAAATCTATTATTCTGTCCACTTTAAACGATCGCAGGTCCTCCTCATCCAGAGCAATGTCTCCCAGAAAGGCAACTGAAACAGACAAACAGAGATGGCACATGTCAGACGACTGTAAGGCAACTCAACAATATGGCAATATGCAGCATCAGTCTGAGCCGCCCAGTTGCCTCAAGCGTTTCCTGCTGCTCAGACCGAGTAGGCTGCATGGAGGCCCAGTCAAAGCACTTGTGGAAGGCCCAGAGCATGTAACACACATACAGTATAAAAATACATACTTCATTCCTTTCTTGAGTCTGTTCTGTTTACCCTTTCCTTGCATTGAAATAGAAAAAGAGCTGTGAAACAACAGTACGTCTGTTTGGATAACAGCAAAGCCGCCTTCTCTGGACTCCAAATTACAGGATGGAAATGTAAGCAACATACTGCATATGGCTCATGAAGGTTCATGAAGGTTCATACAACGAGGAGAGAGCCTTAGCTCAGAAACCCGGCCGTTGATGTGATTAATAGAACCATCTTCAATCCAGATGTTACCAAACAACAGAACTCACACTGTGTGCTTTGGCGTCCTCGGGTAGTTAATGAGAGAGCTATCAGATATGATACTGTGAGACCCTGACACCGCCTCAATGGAGTAATATGGGGCACCTTGAACAAGTAATAGCTCTTTAATGAGGCCAAGGAGAGGGAAAAATAACCAAACAGTCCCACTTTATGAGGAATGTGCTATATGGGATTCCTTACTAAATGCCCCATTTCTGTGGAGGATAAGCTGGGAGTCCTCTCCATAGAGACAGGGCGCTCGGTTTTACAGGCTTTTAACACCAGCATGTCTGTAGAATTTATGGCCTGGCTTGTATGCAGAAGTTGGGGAGGAGGGGGGGTGTTTTTTTTTTTGGGAGAAGCAGGGGGGGGAGGAGAAGGGCAAAGGGGTGGCACTGTAATCTGTGCCTAACAGAATATGACAACGAGAGGGGAAGGGAAGAGAGGAGGAAGGCATATCCCCTCTGCCCAAACCACAGCTCTGAATAGGGACAGCAGATGTGCAGCAGAAAGAAAATGACAGCCTTCTGGATGTGTGTTTGGAGGTTAGTGTGGTGGAGGGGAAACCAACCCAGAGGGGTAAGAAGCCGGGAGAACCACTAAACTGTAAAGTTAATGGGAGTGATTTACAGCGGTTGCGTTTGTCAAACATTTGAATCTGTAATTCTTGAATGCGATAAAAGCAACTCTTACTGTGAAATACATTTTATCTTGTGTAGATAAGCTTGATTTTATTTAGTTTAGACGCAGCTCATGGCTTTCTTCCTTTCCTTTTAGCACACAACAAAAACATCCACAAGAATTGTCTTCTATCTCCAGCCTTCCTATAAAAGTTTGACAGAGGTCTGAGACAAGAGAGAAAGGGATGAAAAGCACAATAGAAACAAAGACAAAAAACACTTGGCTCGCGTCCCTATTCCCCAGAAGAGTATTATGGAAACAATCTGCAGTTGGCTTCGGTAGATGAAGGCCAGTCTTCTACCCTGCAGGTCGTAGAGGATGCACAGCAGAATGACTGTGTTTGGGGTTACAGGCTAATGACAGCAATAAGAAAAGGAGTAGATCACTGCCGGCAAGACAGGGCATGCATAGAGGACAGGTTTAAATTCCAGAGGTCAAAAAGGATCCTCTAATTTGTGCTCGCAAAAAACACAAATTCTCTCCAAATCCCAGAGACACAAAACAGAGTACTCACAATCAGCACTCACTCTGACAGCTATTGCCAAAAACAGCGCTGATAAGGGGAAGCTACCAGATGTCGTGCAGTACAGGACAGATAGGCTGACAACAGAAGGACATTTTTCTCTTTTATCTTCGCATTTTTATTCGATTCCCAGAACTGGCAGAGCGTTGAAAGAACAGGCAGACCATGAACAATTAATTCAAGTTGCTGTCATATAAAACCATAAACGCTGAGAAGAGGTATTCAAAACAATTCTATGAAACTCAGAGGAAAGGTACACTTGGAGGATGTTTCTTTTCACATGTAATGTCAATTTGCACACATGAGCAGCGTTATGTGCAGGCTGCGACCAAATAACGAGGTGCAGGTTTTCTCCCACCCCCATGAGGTTCACAGAGGGCTGCGCTCTCTGTCCCAATCATCCACCACTGTGCTGGAGACAGGCCGGTTAATCCGCAGTGTCATTGTTCTCAGACAACAGTGGAGATTGAAGTGAGCAAATGCACGGCCCGGCGGTATTAGAGGACTCATTTCCCCCGGGCACAGCAGTCGTCCTGGAGACGCTGTTGCAGGTTTATGGAAAGACTCGCAGGGATTGTGAATTAATCCCCTTGTCTCCTGGCTTTAATTATCCACAGACACACGGTTTTAGGAATCTTTTGTACACAACTCTGGGCTTGGATTGAGGACAGGCTTTGGAGAAAGGTGATAAACTCATCGAGATACAGATCACTGTGATGATATGAAGTACAAACACAAGAGCGACTCGTGTGTTGTAGTGTAGATTAAAACCCAGTGAATGTGGCAGATGGCAAGTGATCACTGTCGAGTAGAGTGCTGCATCCCTTTCCAAACATTATTCATTACCTAAATGACAACAGCTGCAGCTATAATACTGATATCTGAAGAATAGTTAGGTAGCAGTGGTAGGGTTTTTAGTTGCTGTTCCAGTTCATATGGCCCTTCTTAGTTGGGGAAAACAACAAACAGTAGGCCATTATGGTGGGGAGCAAATCAATGTGTGAGTATATTCCACAAGCTAATGACATTTAACTGAATATATGACAGAGAATTGGGATGAAATGTTGGATTGAACATATTTGATGTGTCCAAACTCCCCCTGTCAATGAGTTATTTTTTTAATTAATCTAAACCATCATAATCCTTCTCATCTCAGACCGCCCCCATCAATCAGCGAATCCAGTCAGATTACACATGAGATCTCAATCAAATTAATCCCATTGATTCGTGTAATGCCCTACCCTCGACCTCTGCGGTGTCAAATACTCAAGGACTATTCCCATAAATCTCCTTCCGTGGATACCAGACCATGACATCTGCCACTGAAACCTGCACAAACATCAATACTAAGCCTAAACAGACACACCAGCCTATATTTAGAAGGCCATGCAGCTCCACAGTGAGGCCATGGTTTTCTCCTCACTGTGCTTATAGAGACGTTTAGACAGGCTTTCCCTATACAAGACCTAATGATGAGGGATGAGAAAGCCTGGCCAATATGTGAGCCTTGAATGCATCACAATACCCTGGCACCGCCTTTCACAGCCTGTGTTTGGTAACAACATGCATTTGAATTCCAATAGAGGCCAATAGTGTATTGCGTTAAGGTGTTTACATCTGATGACAGTGTAAGTATCACTTTTCAGGTTTTATTCTGTACCAGTCCTTTCTGCTGGCCAGTGTAGCTGCTGCCCCTCCAAACACTGTGTGTTTAAAACTGCACAGGAAATAAAAGTAGTAAAGTAGCAAAGCCTGTGTAACACGAATACTGAGACAAACAGGGGGAAAAATGCTAAATCCTAACTAAGGCATGATGAATTATATTATGCAGGCCTGTTGTCGTGTAAATATGGTACCTCTCTCCTCTGTAAAAACAACACCAGCTGTTATTTCTTCAGCAAATGCTTACCTTGACATTTCCTAACGCTGCAATTTGAGCTCAAGCAGGAGAAGAAAAAAAAATAAAGTCTATTTATCTGCACTCTGCTCATTTCAAAAAGTTTTCTAAGGTATAATTAGAAGAGAGATTCTGGTGAAGTCTCAAGCTACAGATTGAGATTTGAGTAATTATTTTCCAATAAAAGCCTGAAGTCTCATCAGCCACAGCTGAGATCAAGACCGAGTTACTGTCACCACACTGCAGCTTCAATCTTATTGACAAAATGAGAGCCGCTTCAGATGCAAAGGGCACACAGCAAGAGGCTGCCTCCCCTTTAACATTTCATACTGCATCAAGCCCATTAGCAGATTGTATTTCCCAGCTCATCCCTGCCACTGATTACTGATATACCCCAATGCCAGTCGAACCCCCCGTAAGGACTCATCAGCTCGCCAGCCATTTGTCTTTTTTAATGTCAACGATACACAGTATTTGAGCCCCGCACATGGATGAATAATTCATCGCCACATGGCAGGGATTTTCACCTTTGACAAAACTTATTTTGACCATCCAGACTTCATATTTCTGGTTTAGACAGCAGACTAACACATACTCATACAGTCTGGTGTGAGGAAAGGGCAGGCTTTCTCTGAACAGATGTCCAAAGCAAAGTTTAAGCGGGTTTGTGGATGATCTAAATCTGGAAGATATCTTCAACCCTCAACACTTTCTATAAATAATAGCTGAAGAAAACACCTTAAGTATTCACTACGGGCGGAGGAAACAGAAAAACAAGTCTTCCAGATGAGCAGCAATGTAGCACTGAATTATTTAGAAAAAACAAACTGTGAATAATGAAGAAGTGACTGTTAAGCTGTTCATTATCGTAGACTAATTGGGCATCCTTTGAGCCATTCAAATAAGCTCTCCCAAAGCATTTGTTGTTGCTTGGGCTCCGTACCCAGACTTGGTATTAATGTAATGCAAGATTAGTTATTACTTAGCTCTGACAACAAACATATTGTTCCAACTAACGCACCGAGATCATGCCAATAGATCGGCTCCTTAATCACCTGAACCCTGCGGAGAGAAAGGTTGCAGGGGTCCTGTAATGTAAAAAAAACACCCAGTGTGGGCTTAGCTATGCAGCCTGTATTCCATGATAAAAGAACAGCATCTGCTTAAGTGTTGCTTAAAGGCCCAATCATGAAGTTCAACAGACAGCCCCATCACATTGCCAGAGCAGGACTGAGGGAAGGAGCTCTGTAACGACTGTCTGTTTCGAGCTTCCATTTTCAGAGACTCTGATGAACAAAACCCAAAGGGCTTATTTGGAAAAACAGATAAACGGCATTCTTAAAAGCAATAAAGCAACATGAGTTTGACTGATGGGTGCACAGTGAAAAAAAAACACAATTTAGGCAAATAAATAAAAAACAGACAGTTTTTGCAAATTAACCCATCAAACTGTATACATTTGTGAAAGGAGGTAATTCACAAAAAACATTAAAAAAACCCCAAAACCCATTAAACAAACTGCTCTGGGTTGATTTAATGTAAAAAATTAATGTCGATGCCTTTTAGAAGAAGATTGCTATAAATTTTAACAGCATATTATAAATCTCTCATGCCACACAAGTGACTGTCTGATGAGTAATCATAATGTAGCTTTTCAGAGGCTCCTAACAGCATGTGAGTGGCACTTCAGTGAATAAAGACCAGACTTATGAGAAAATAAAAAGCTCTGAATCACTGTTATCGAACAGAATCCGGCAGCTGTATTTTGAAATGACTAAATCACAGTCAAGGCCCAACACTGAGCGGCAAGAGGACTGACATACGTCTCTGTTGACAGCGACAAATTCTTCAGAGGCAGCAAGCCACGTTGTGGATAATCTATCAAGTGCCTCTCCTGAATGGCCTGCACTCACCTCACCTGGACTTGTGCGGTGTGGCACAGTGCGACTGGCCTGCCCTCCACCTTCCAGTCGCACTTTCCCTTGGCACGAGGTGAATGACCTACAGTCTGTGTGAAGTGTTTGAGCCAGTCAGAGGAGAGAGCCGGGGGCCCAGGGAGACGAGAAAACCACTTGCATAAAAGAGGACAAGGGAAGGAGAGGGGGTATGCTCAGGTTGCCCTGTCTGCAGTTGATGCCACAGCAGCACGGGAGCTCAAACTCACGCATCCAAAGCCTGAACATGCACAAAAGGGCGGCACAGACAGACAACGCTGCCACCAGAGTCTTATATAGATTAAGATGTCTGCTTCATAAATGAATGCATACGTACACGACGAACCAGCCACTGCTTTTGTGATTAGCATTTAAGCAGAGCAGACAATGAGCGTGACTGGTTCTCATCCATTTTTCATTTTCAAAATGAGTGGATCTAATCTCAATGGGTTGTTACAGTCTTAAATGACTTCCTGGGATGCAGCCAAGTTTGGAGTTCTGCAAACTAAGGAATTTTCCACTGGTTAACTTCCTAAATAGATGGCACTACTTGAGTGTTATTGCACTGCTCGCTTCAATCAGTGCACATTTCTATCATATCTGGTATAGTGATGAGTTATTTAATCCTTTGTGAATGTGAACATTTTTGAGGGATTTTTTTGGCTTAACTGGGGAGGAGTGGCACACATGTCGTGGCAAGAAATTAAGAATTTACTGAGTGCATTTTAAATAAACTGAGGAAAAGACACAAAGTGGTCACCACTTGGTCAATTAGTCAACTGACCAGTCATCCCAAATTAGTGAGTATCACAACAATATTCACACGTCATCTTGTTTTTCACAAACATCTGAATGGGAGTCATTATATGTCATGACGGCGTTCACTTTGCAATACACGTGTACCCCCCCCAATCAATAAATAAAAATCCTGACACAGTTAGAACAGTGTTAAGCAAGGACAGGCATGCAGAGGACAAGCATGAAATGAACTCCTCTCGGAGCATTCCTGCATTAGAAACTTCACACAGCCGTAAGCATTTTCCTGGGCGGAAGCAGCATGATACAAAGATGCTGACCTCGAGGCCACAGAAAGCTATCAAATACTCTCAGTGCAGCAATGCTTGAAAAATGAGGAAAAAAACCCCCACAGCTAATCAATAAACCCAAGAAGTCCATACTAGTTTGAAACACTAGTGTGGAGCTGACTATGGTGAAAGATTCTGTCTTGCAACTGGGAGGAAGAGGAGGAGGAGTGGGGAGTAAAAGGGAGAACTGAGAGATCTTGGACATTATGCGACTTAGTAGGAAGGAGAAAAGCAGGTGGGTGTTGGAAGAGCTGGAGACTGGGAGGGTTAAGAGAGTGGGAGTTTGTACTTGTGACCGTCTCCCAACCACCTGTCTGCAGACGCGCCCAGAGGAAACCATAAACACAAGCGCCACTGCATTCAGAATGACACTTAAAGACTGGATTACCAATGAAGACATCCTCACAAACAAGACCAAAAAACAAACATGAGTAGGGGTTATGAAGTGGAAATGCCGCCGCTGAGACATTTCCGTTAAACATCAACCATTTCTTGGAAACAAAGTCAGAAAAAAAACACTTGAAATATAAACACGTCATCGTCGCTCTTAGGTCAGTGTTAAGGCGTCATCTGAACACCGGGTCATGTCCAGTAAATCCATATTAGTGATCCAACACAATCTGCTATGACCTCCTGAATGACTCAAATTAAACAGTGAAGCAAAAACAGGAAGCAACATCTTCACCGACATGTTCGTGGGACGTGGTTCATCCGCAGCCTGAGCTTTGTCATGTTTATGTAAAGCCACTGCACTCCTCCTGAAGCTCAAGCTCTTTACGTCTCCCTCGACACTTAACTCTTCTTCTGGGGTGTG